CCGCTCTTAGTTGTTTCCTTCAGGCTATTCCAATGGAAACCTGGAACATTTTTATACTCCCTTCTTTGGGGGAAAAAGAGGTTCTTTCTCTTTTTTTTAAACTCATCATTTCAAATATAAGCCAACTTAAAAATCCCTTGGAAGTGAGAGAGGGGGGAAAAACCTCAAAGAACACAATTGGTCCTTGCCGAATGTGTGAAGACAGCCTTTGAGTCCAAGGGGGTTATTGTACTTTTGATTACAGCACAATCCTGGATAGGCTTTCCCAGAAGTAGGACCTGATGTCTCCAGGGGTCTTTATTTGCTGGCTCTAATCAGAAAATGCAGAAAAGTGCAAAGACAACGTTAACATTCCCGTTGCCAGCCAAACGAGGGAATCCAAGTTCCCCAGACAGGTTTAGGATCCTGGACTTTATGTTATTATTTTATTTATGTAGGTAGATTTGTTTTTTAAATGGACAATTCAGGGTGCTGATTTCTAATTGAGGACTTTGACAATTGACCCTATAATTCCCAGCTACAGGGCTGGGAATTTGGGGGGAACAGAGAGAGATACCAAATGTGTAGAAAAGGGACGGGAAGGTGTTTTGAATCCTCCAGTTTAACACCCTGCAGCTGTGATCAAGACTGATGCTGGTCTGAATTACTTATCAGGGTTTGAGTCAAGCTAAGATCAGCTTCTTTCCCACCTGGTGTCCAGCCCTCAGAGCCCCCACGCAGGAAAGACAGCGATGAAACCAGGATCCCTGGTCCTGGAAGAGCCAGACTGCAGTCTGCTTTGGTGTATCTTCCTATGCTCCCTCCCAACCCTTCCCCACATTCAAAGCACCCCCACAGGTTGGCTCAGAGGGGTATTGGGACTCCCTGGATTACTCATAAATTAAGGTGCTTTGTCAAAATACTTCCTGGGGGAGGGAGCAGACTAACCACGACTGAAGGAAGTGAACAATGATTTTTCTGAATGCCTGGGACACAAAGGTAGACTGCCTTTCTCCATGGAAGTTGAGCTTCCATTCAGCTCCTCCTTGTCAGTGCTTAATAGTTTTGTTCTTAGTATTCCCCTGAAAGCTAATAATTATTGTGGTAGGGCATTCCAGAAACCAATTTTCCTTTGGGTTTGAATGCAAAGTCAGGAAATATTTGCGGAGGCCCGTTCTTAAAACAGAGAATAGCCACCTCTTCTTAAGCCCTTCAGCACACCCTACATCAGCTTAGCTTGGGGGGAGATCCATTAGACCTGAGCTCTTGGTGTTTCTCTTAGCCCACCCTTAAAAAAACTGGGGGGGAAGACAGAAAGATTTTAACCTTTCCTTGCAAGAAACTGCAAACCGCTGATATTTTTGCCCAATCTGAGAGTTCCTTCCTAAAACGAGTTGTAGCATTTCTTGCTAGCACTTCATCAGGCCAGTGGCGGGCATAGAAAAAAAAATAGATTAGCAAACAGCCCCTCGCACAAGGCCCTTTAGGGCTGTCCCCTTGGTTTGTGTAACCTGCCTCCAAGAACCCAAACCCAAACCCCGGCTTGCTGCGTTCCCACAACCGGAGGAAAAAGGTGGGTTGGTCCGCAACATGGTTCCGTTAAGGGGAAGCGGGATCGGACGTGATGCAAGAGTCCAGGAGAAGTTCACCAAGGTCCCCTTCCTTGGCCTCCAGAATATTGGGCTTCAAATCCTCCTTGCCCACGCTGGCTGGGGATGATAGGAGTGGGATTCCAACAGAACTGGAGTGCAGCCCCTCAGAAGGAAGTTGTGGGGGGGATCGAAAGGGAGGGCCTTTTGATAAAGAAAGAATAGGGCAAAAGGAGGAGGACCAACTGTCCAGAAAAGGACTTGTCCTTTTAAACCCTTAAAAATCAGGTGAAATACCGCCCGTTTTAAAAAGGAATTCTGGAAAAACAGCCGTCCATCCAGAATACCTCTACCCCGCCTCTGACTTTTTTCTTCTTCCAGGGGCCTCCAAGGAAATGCTCTTTTCATAGAGGGAATCGCGTGCGGGGGGGGGGAGGTG